AAGCCAAATGAAAACAACATAAAATAGAAGTAAAATTAGAATTTATAGAAGCCTTGAACACATAAATGACAAACATGTTTCGTTTGCCCTCAAAGTAGTCGCTTCAATCTTCAAGCTTTCATCAGTACTCAATAATTAGCTTTGGTTATCATCAAAATATTTCATTAAGACTACCAACAACAAAATATACATTTGAATCAAAGACTACACAGAGATTCAAAGGAGAAGCTTGCTTCATGAACAAAAGCCAACAATCGATAAAGTTTAATTCAATTTCGCTGTCGTCTGCCTCCGTGTCGAGATAGTATCCATCAGTGGTTTTTGATTTCTTTGTAGTTGGAGTACCAAGAACCTAAACAGAACGAAATTTTAATCAAAATGACAAATCTATTAGATTTTAGGAATTTTCTACAATGACACCAAGGTAAACTATAATCAAAATGAGACTTCACCTTTTTATATATAATGTTATAACTTCTTCTTTTTTATTATTATAATAATGTTAGATAAATATGATAGTATAGTAATGTGTTGTTATGTTCTTCGTAGCTACTATAATATAAAGCCGGTGTGAAACATATTTCAGAAATTCTGGCCTCCACCTAGGAATTGGATAAAAGAAAAATGAACGAACTGTAGAATGAAAACGCGACCGATATTACCTTCACCTTAAAGATATATGTTGTGGAAGTTTTGCATGTATACAAACATCATTTGAGTTTGACTATTATACGAATACATACGATCAGCGAATTCAGCGTATACAAACCAAAATCTCGTTGATCATAAATTGTTTTGGTTTAGAAAATTAAATGAGGACGACTTACATGTATACAAACATCATTCGATTATTATATGAATACGAGCATATACCACTATCCACTAGCCAAATATCTATCATAATAAATGTTTTTGATTTAGAAAATGAATATACTTGTAGGTTTTGACCCAAAAAAAAAATATACCTTAGACCATCTCCAAAAGTGAGGTTTTAAAGGGTTCTTATGTTAATTTTGCAATTAAAAAAGATTAAATAAACTATTAAGAGAGAATCGGTTCTCTTGAGAGAACTTTAAGAACCCATGATGGACCCTGACGTGGCAATGTTTGATTGGTTGAAAAATTGTTTTTGTTTTTTTCTTCTCATTTCATTTATCTCTCTCTCTTCGTGACTCGGTGGAGAAGAAAGAAAATTCCTTTCTCTTTCTGAGAAGAAGACGATGTCGGGGCTTTGGAGAAATTGAGACACACTGCATCTTTGTCTCCTTCATGCATGCGGAATCGAGAGTCATGGCAACGAAGGTTGCCAAATTTCTGGGTTGAAATCGTTGGAGAGAAGCTATGGCGAAGTCATAAACTCCCGGTAAAGTTTTTTTTTTTTTTGTTTCTGCAATTTCTGTTTTGATTCATCAGAATTCTTAGAAGAATTGTGTAGTTCGGATTTGTCTTACACCGATTATACTCTGTCTACGACATTGTTGGGGTCGGTTTTCACCCCAAGCAGATAAAACCATCTCAAAATGACTAAGTATGGAAGAAAAATAAGTGGGAGAGCCGTGGTCACCAAGTGGGAGAGCCGTTCTCACCAAGACAAGTGGGAGAGCCGCGATCACCAAGTGGGAGAGCCGTGAAGATAGACAAGTAGGGAGAGCCGTGAAGAAAGATAGAAGGGCCGAGCCGTATCTTAAGAAATGGGCCGAGCCCCTCTTCAACATGCCTGGGACGAGCCGCGCCTTGGTGAGGTGGACCGGATCATGTCTCGACTAAGATGGCAAGTGGGCCGAGCCGTGGAGAAGTTAGATGGGCCGAGCCGTGAAGAAGTTCAGATGGGCTGAACTAAGGCCTTGAGAGACGAAGCCCATAAAAACCATAGGCGAAATACAAAGGCGGTGAGCCGCACGAGGCGATAAGGAAATATTCCGAAAATCTCTCCCGAGATTCTCGGCTAGGCGGTTCGGAGAATTAGTATAAATAGATGATGTATACAATTCATTCTGTAACTTTTGCAACCATAAGCAATAAGAGCTAAACACTTTTACAGCAAGAAATTTTTTTTTTCGATCTTACTGTTTTTGCCGATAAACCCTAGAAGTTTCCGATCCCTTAGTTTTCCTTAAACAAATTTCTGGTTGTACGAGTTTTGGCTCGGACCTCGGACCCAGACCTCCGACGGACGATCCCAGTCGAATTCATCGAACATCCTAGCATCGAAGAAGTGGAAGGAGTTCGGCTGATAAATCATCCTGAACAAGAACCAGAGGACGATGAAGCCATTCCTATGGATGAAGACGCCTCACCGGCCGAGCCGGAGTACAGCTGCGACAAAAAACGGCTCGGAGCTATCCGAGTGTATATCGCCGATGGAGAGGTGCCAACCGACAAATGGGAAGCCCGCAAACTAAAAGCTCAGGCCACGCGGTATGTCCTCGTCGATGGCGAGGTGTTTAAATGGAGATTTTCAGGGCTTCTCATGACATGCGTCGAAGGACCAGAGGCAAGAAAGATCATGCACGAGGTGCACAGCGGCGCGTGCGGGAACCATTCCAGCAGAAGGTCGCTTGCTATCAAGATAAAACGGCACGGCTACTTCTGGCCCACGATGGTCAAGGACTGGGAGAAATTTACGGTGAAGTGCGAGAAGTGTCAGCGGCATGCTCCAACGATTCATCAACCTACCGAGTTACTCTCGTCAATTTCGTCGTCTTATCCGTTCATGAGATGGTCGATGGACATCGTCGGACCTCTACATCTCTCAAAGCAGAAGCGTTTTCTGCTCGTCCTCACGGATTACTTCTCCAAGTGGGTCGAAGCCGATTCCTACGCAAGCATAAAGGATGTTCAAGTCGAACACTTCGTCTGGAAAAATATCATCTGCCGACACGGGGGTCCCCTACGAGATAGTCACCGACAACGGATCCTAGTTCATCTCAACACGCTTCGAAGCCTTCTGCGAGAAGTGGAAAATCTGCCTCAGCAAATCTACCCCAAGATATCCTCAAGGGAACGGACAAGCTGAAGCAGCCAACATGACGATCCTCGACGGTCTGAAAAAGAGGCTCGACGCCAAGAAGGGACGGTGGGCAGACGAACTCGAAGGAGTCCTTTGGTCTCATCGAACAACTCCGCGCCGAGCCACTGGGGAAACTCTATTCGCTTTGGTCTACGGATCGGAGTGCGTAATTCCCCCCGAGGTGGATTTCCCAGGTATTCGACGGAGACTTCTACCAGGACAGGAGGGCTTGAACCACTTAATGATGCTAGATGAGCTCGATCTAATCAACGAAAAGCGCGACCAAGCCTTAATTCAAATCCAGAACTATCAACAAGCAACGACGCGATACTACAACAAAAACGTTCGTAGCCGAAGATTCAAAGCAGGGGAGCTCGTCCTCCGAAAGGTCTTCCAAAACACTGCCGAGAAGAACGCAGGAAAGCTCGGAGCAAATTGGGAAAGTCCTTACAAGGTCACAAAAGTGGTTCGTTCAGGAGTCTACGAACTCGCGACACTAGCTGACGAAGCGATTCAAAGATTAGAACGCAATGCATCTAAAGAAGTACTATCACTAAAGCTACAACACGGCCAGCATGAACTACGGGACGGCTTGATCCCTGCAAAGGGTACGTAGGCAGTCCGTCCTCGGACGGGTTCAGCTGTCCCCTCTCCTAAAAAGGGGGGGGGGGAGTGGGTACGTATACACATACCTCCTTTAACTCTACAATTTTAAATTGCTCACTTAGGAACATCGCCACTTCGGCACATTCTCAGTTCGTTTTTAATCATCTACATATTTCACTTTTACCTTTGATTTCTAGTTCGTTTATTATCGCTTCGGCTAGTTTCTCATTGTAGAGTTTCTAAATCAGCAACTTATTTTAACAAGCTCGAATTTTTAAATTATGTCACTCATCACTTCGGCGAGTAATACCACTTCGGTATGATATCATGACCTGATTACCTCGGACCTTAATCGGTCCTCAGTTTCAGTTCGGCAAACTAAGCCTCCGAACGCCTCGTCTCGTTGCTGGCCACAACGGGGCAACAAATACAAAGTTCTCTAAACGGACTTTTACCACATTTCCTAGGACGAGGGTGCAAGTTACATCCTCTACGGATAAAGATTAAACGCGCTATACAAATATCAGACCAAAAACGTATCAGGTCGCCACGGTTTACTATCGCACACGAGAATATAAGTCGAGACTACATCGCTTTCTCTAAAACCGAAGTAAACTCTTAAAACCCGGATAAACATACTCATCATCCTCTCGGAAACACCGGTCCATAGTCAGATTCAATAACACTTCATCCTTGGCTAATAAAAACAAAACGTCTCGTCGTTTACACGGATTGGCACCATGCAAAGCGAAAACACCTCGTCGTTTACACGGCTCGGCACCATGGAAAGCGAAAATGCCGCGTCGTTTACACGGCTCGGTACCGTGCAAAGCGAAAACGCCACGTCGTTTACACGGCTTGGCACCACGCAACAAAAAAACGCCACGTCGTTTACACGGCTCGGCACCATGCACAGCGAAAACGCCTCGTCGTTAAATACGGCTCGACATTGCCAGCAAAAATTTGCTGCGACATTATCACTTAAAATCTTTCCAGCATCACCTAAAAGTTTTCCACAAAACTAACTCCCAGCTCAGGATTAAGAATCCAAACGAGATCCTTAAACGACTCAACCCTTAGCCCGTATTTCTATCGATTTCGAAGAATTCGGTTAAGGAAGCAATCAAAATCATTCTCGACACAGCAATTTTCATCCTCGACAATTTTCTCTAAGCCAACGGTTTTCACAGATATTTGCACAAATTGTTAAAATTAAGTGCATCAAATCCTAAAACGGCTAAGGAAAAAAGAATATATCCATAAGCAAAAATAAATGTCGGGTGGATAAAGCCGTCCAGGCACCGGTTACATAAAGAGTTCAGAAAGCAGATAAAAATCCTAAGTACAGAAGCATGAAAGACAAAACAGGGAAAATCAGAGAGTATCAGGCCGCGGACTGCGTTTCACGCTCGACAAGGAGGGTCGAGAGGACTGGCGTGCCCGCGTTCGATCCGTTCGGATCTACGACGCCTAAGTTGGCCGCTGTCTCTTCGAGCGGCTCGTTACCAAGGCTGGTGTCGACCGAGTCCGGCGATACGGGAGAGTAAAATAGCTTGCCTTGAATCTCGGAAGCAATACGCTCGTACGCCTCGTCGTCGGCATACTCACTCTCCCAGCTTTTCAGCTTCACCTCCTCGTCGTCAAGCGTCGGGGCATCCGGCTTCTTCAGGTCGGCAATCATCGCAAGATTTCCCTTGATCTGCCCCAGATCGTTCTCATCATTTTTGGCCTTCTCAAGCCTGGCCAAACCCTCCTCCACCTTGACGAGGCGTTCCTGAAACTTCGTCGTAAGCTCTCGCCTCGCCTCCTTTTTCGCCTTCTTGACCTTGGCATCGAACAAGGCGTCCTTGGCCTCGATAAGCCTCTTCATCATCGCCACCTCGGCGCTTTTAGCTCTCCTCGTCTCCTCGAGGCGAATGACCGAGGCGGAGACCTTGTCGACATTGGCGCGCAGAACGATATTCTTCTCTTCCAGCTTGGACGCCCTGGCCACCGCCTCGTCCAGTTTCCCCTTTGCCGCCGCGGCTTCGTTCTGAGCCTCTTCCAGCTTCGCCTTTGACGCTGCGGACTCATTTCGGGCCTCGGCCAAGCGACGTTCGACCTTAGACAGGTCCGCCTCGTACTCGGCCATCAGGTCATTAATGGCCGCAACAAACTGCAAAGAACAAACTCGCGTTAAACACTTAGTAAAAATTTGCGAAAATAAAGGAAAGCAAATAGAACGTACCTTGGTACCGCGCTGTGCCATCGCGCCGTACGACCTCGCCCTCCTCAACTTCTCTGGAGGAGAAAGACGCGTGTTTGCGTTATTTACATGCGAGAACATGACGGCAGAGGCGTCGGGGTCGTCGACGACCAACTTGCGCGCGGCGGGGTCCCTGGGCGTCGGCTTCCGCCTCTTCTTGGACGGCTCGTCCTTCTGAACAGCAACGCCCTTCCCCTTGTCAGCGGCCGAACGTTTTCGGCTCGGGTCGTGTTTCTGAACGACTGAAGTCGGGGGCTTGGTCGACTTCGGGAAGGCTAAAATGGCGGAGTTCGAAGGAGTTTTGCTCCGCACCGCCGAATTATCCCCGAACGCCTCGGGAATAATTTTGCCCGGTTCCACCTCGGGCGCTGCATCTCTCTCGACCACCTCGGCAGTGTTGCCTTCTGCGGCTCAGACCATTTCGTCTCCTTCCCGGCTCGGCGGGTCGGGTTGAGGGATGGCCTCGGTTTGCGCTGGAACCGCCTTGGTCTGCGCCTGAGCCGCCTCGGCAGCTCGTCTCGCGGCCTCTTCTTCCTCGCGCCTCTTCCTTTCTCTGAGAGCGATTATCACCATCTTCTCTCGGGTATCCTTTGAAGAACTAGAAGACGAAGAGCTGACGGGGACTCCGACAAGGATGGCTCGCGCTTTTTCCACTCTTTCGAGGGTGAAATTCTTCCTCCAATTAACCTTCCGCGCCGAAAGAGAGTCTCGAACAGTAAAGAGGTCGTCAGGGATCGGGGGAAGAAAGCACCGAACTGCAAAACAAAGCAAAAAAGAAAATTTTCAGTAAGGGAAAAGGATAGCAAAAAACAGTTCCGAGCCGAGGCAAAGCTTCGGGTCGGCTACCAAGTGGTCCCCAAGCGGTCTTGTTTCTTTGAACGTAATCCTCGCCGACCGACGCCTCGTTCACCAAGACGTAGAAGAAGCGTTCAGTCCAAAACTGATCCTTGCTGGGAAAACCGCCGATGATCCGTCGCTTCGCCTTGTTGGAAATATAGAATCTATTTCCTTTCGGAGCTTTCCTGATTTCCAGCAAGTTCAGCAGGTGATTCGGCTCGATATCAAGTCCGCATTCGAAGCTTCGAACTAAGATGCCAATCATATGCCGTAATCCCCTCGGCATGATTTGCCCAATCGAGATCCCATGTTTCCAGGGATATTCAAGGATCACTCCGGTAATCGGGAACCAGAGGAAGCAAAGCTCGAAGAACGCCTCGTACAGAGTGAAATGATTTTCTGGAGGCTTCTTCTCTGGAACGACGAACTCCACCGCCTCGGACATCCCGAAGCGATGCCTCAACGCCTCGAGCGACTCAAGGGAGCAAAGCGTAGAGCCAGGCGGGTCAAGTTTTTGTCTCTTAACTCGTGGCCCTCGCCCAGATGTGGAAGCGCCTCGGGATGCCATGAGACATTCCAATTCACGCTTCGCCTCGAAAAGGTCAAAAGGAAATGCCTCCTCCTCGACCTTAAGTACGGCGCGATTAATGTCTTCATCGGGAACAGGATCCTGGGGACGGCTCGTCGTAGGCTCGTCATCCGGAGAACCGACATCTGACGGGTTTGCATTATCTGACGCCTCGTCAGATGAACGATTGGAGGCGTTCGGCGAAGCAGATGCCTCGGAGGATTCTGGCGTACCTCTCGCCTCGGCGTCCACGCGGCTCGACTCGTACTGAAAAAGTGAATCCAACGAATCGTTGGAGTGGCTCGACATAATTTACGATTTGTACAAGAATTACAGCACGACTCGGCGAGCCTCCACCGGAAAAAGATCTGGAGCGACGGAGACCTCAGAAACCCTAGCCGGAAAATAAATAAACTAGAGAGAGAAAGAAGAGAGAAGGGAGAGCTACCTTTAGTAAAAACGTGTGAGTCTGAAGATAATGAGGAAGAATGAAGGAGCTCACCCATTTATAGGAAAACCAAAGCGCGTGAATTCCGCGTAAACCTCGGGAAACCGTCCAAACAGCGCGTGGGATCCGCAGTGAAATGGCTAGACCGAACTGCGTCGGTCACAATCGCCAATAGATCAGGAATTTTCTCTCTTGGAAGACCAACGGTTGGGATACCCAAAGTTTTCAGCCGGTATCTTACCAAAGTAAACGCCTCGTCGTTAAAGAAACGGCTCGGCATTAATTCTTGCTCTCGAAACACCTCGTCGTTAACGAAACGGCTCGGCATTAACTCTTGCTCTTGAAACGCCTCGTCGTTAACAAAACGGCTCGGCATTAATTCTTGCTCTCGAAACGCCTCGTCGTTAACAAAACGGCTCGGCATTAACTCTTGCTCTTGAACGCCTCGTCGTTAACGAAACGGCTCGGCATTAACTCTTGCTCTTGAAACGCCTCGTTGTTAACGAAACGGCTCGGCATTAATTCTTGCTCTCGAAACGCCTCGTCGTTAACAAAACGGCTTGGCATTAACTCTTGCTCTTGAAACGCCTCGTCGTTAACAAAACGGCTTGGCACGAACTTTCTCTCGAAACACCTCGCCATTTATTCGGCTCGGCATAACCTTCTCAAATCGCCTCGCCTCGGCTCATCATTACTAAACGAAATCGCCTCGTCCTTAACTTGCCTCGGCATCTTCGGTACCCTTTCGAAACACCTCGGCACTCTCGGCACTCCTTGGGAATGCCTCGGCATCTTCATTCTCAAAACACCTCATCTGGTCTTACGTCATGACAGCTTGACTCGATGGTTTATCCTGCGGTCAGGAGTAATGGACCTCGTCACTCTCGCCTCCGAAACTGACGAGCTGGGGGGCTAACTGTTGGGGTCGGTTTTCACCCCAAGCAGATAAAACCATCTCAAAATGACTAAGTATGGAAGAAAGATAAGTGGGAGAGCCGTGGTCACCAAGTGGGAGAGCCGTTCTCACCAAGACAAGTGGGAGAGCCGCGATCACCAAGTGGAAGAGCCGTGAAGATAGACAAGTAGGGAGAACCATGAAGAAAGATAGATGGACCGAGCCGTATCGTAAGAAATGGGCCGAGCCCCTCTTCAACATGCCTGGGCCGAGCCGCACCTCGATGAGGTGGACCGGATCATGTCTCGACTAAGATGGCAAGTGGGCCGAGCCGTGGAGAAGTTAGATGGGCCGAGCCGTGGAGAAGTTCAGATGGGCTGAACTAAGGCCTTGAGAGACGAAGCCCATAAAAACCCTAGGCGAAATACAAAGGCGGTGAGCCGCACGAGGTGATAAGGAAAATATTCCGAAAATCTCTCCCGAGATTCTCGGCTAGGCGGTTCGGAGAATTAGTATAAATAGATGATGTATACAATTCATTCTGTAACTTTTGCAACCCTAAGCAATAAGAGCTAAACACTTTTACAGCAAGAAAAAACTTTCTTTCGATCTTACTGTTTTTGCTGATAAACCCTAGAAGTTTCCGATCCCTTAGTTTTCCTTAAACAAATTTCTGGTTGTGCGAGTTTTGGCTCACACAGGCATGCATGTCGAATCGAAGGTTTTAAGTGGGTGCGATTAGATAATCGTAATGGTTTCTTTTGTGTTGTTTTTTTTGTTATTTCGGCGGTGTTACGGCGGCGAGATGGGAAGCGATTGGATGAGTCTTTCTTCACGGTGAAAAGCGGTGAACTGAGTCTTCTTAATGTTCTGTCTCCTCCTGATGCGCATATATTTAATCATCTCTGAACTTTATGGGTTATTAATGGATTGTTTTGATGGATTGAGTGATGCTTGTGATGGATTGTTTAAATCGATGCTGTGTTAGTAGATGGTGAATCAATGCATTGTCTTAGAGTTAGAGGTAGGTTAACGGTAGGATAGTGAATCAATGCTTAGGGTGATGCTTAAGCTTTTTGTTTAATGCTTGGTAGTTAGGTGAAGCGTTAAGTTTGATAAGACTGGTAACCACACAACATCAAGGTTGATGATACTTTGAAAACTAAACAACACAAACAATAACATTGTCTATTAAACCATTTGGCCGATTGTTTTAGCTAACAACACCAACAATAAGAAAACCCAAAACCCTTTAATCCTCTCCTTTATTCATCGCTTTTCTTCTCCTTTAATTCATCTCTTTTCTTCTCCATTAATTCATCTGTTTCCTTCTCCTTTTTATTCATCTCTTTCTTTCTCCTTTTTATTCATCTCCTTGTTATCCTTTATTCAGCTCTCTCTTCTCCTTTATTCTTCTCTGTAAGAGATCCTGAAGAAACAAATGGATTCTACAAATCCATTCCGTGACTCTGGCTTCATAGAGCTCCTTAACAGTCAGCAAACCCCACACACCCTTGAACCTGTTTTATTTATGTATTTCTGTATTGTATGTTTTTAAATCAATGAAATAATTTTTGTTTATAAAATATTTACAATTTAAATAATTGATTTTTTTTTCAAAAGACCCTGACTAGAGAACCTACTATTGGAGGCTCAAAAACTAAAAATCTCTTACAAATATACATATATGTGTAAGTAACACAAAAAATATTAAAAAACAAGATGAAAACCCCATAGGGTCTCTCACCATTGGAGATGGTCTTAGGTCTTCACCGATTATGCCACATTTTTCTTGTTTTTTCGAGGTCAAACATATTTCATATAAATTCGTTTCTCCTTCTTAACCAAAGAGTACGTACAATATAATCAAGAGTGCATAATGAACTTCATATGAAGAGGTTTATTGGCTGTAAGATCAACACATTAGTTGGCTCGTCTTCCTTGGAAAGTGAGTGATGGTTGGTCGAATTAATATTTTTCTTGTCTTGTTGATTTCTCTGGTATAGACTATAAACCTTGACCATACTCGAGGTTCAGCTTATACCGCTTTCACCAATATCTTTGAATCACTCTCGGAAATTACCTCTTCATAGCCAAGATTATCCAAACATGTCATGATACAAAGAAGAGTTGTAGCTTCTGCTTCCATAATGTTACAACAAATTTTTCGAGAAATTTGAGCTCAGCCTAGAAATTAAATTGAATGAAAAACAAAAAAAAAATTTCATGAACTTTTGCAATAAGAATTATGAAATTTTGGAAGAGACTCATATCGGTATTTGTAAAACAAATAGAACATTGGTTGATACCACACAATATAGATCAAATGTAAAAGAAAAAAATAAAAAAGATGTTAGTTTGATCACACACGATCAAATTGCGCTTGAGTTTTTGTGTGGTTCAAACATGTCTTGTAGTGTGATAGAGATTTCATTTCTTCTTCCTTTTTTCTTAGGGCAATTTTCATTTCTTTTGTTTGTAACTTACCAAATATGTATTTATCTATCACAATAAATGAGTCTGGTTTAGAAAATGTTATCAACCTTAATTTTTCCCTAAATGTGATTGATTTAATAGCAACCAAACAAATTTCGGACATACTCAAATATAGTAAGACTTGGAAAGTGAGCATGCAAGTACAGACAATGAGACTCCTATGATAAGAGATGTAGAAAGAAAATTTATCTTGCCTTGCAGTATATCGAAGAGAAAAGGAAAGACAGAACAGCAAACAAGCAGAGAAAGGTTTATGTTTTGTCTCTGGAGTGTTCTAGGAGCTGCTTTGAGATCAAACATTGAAGTAGTTCTAAATGTAGCGTCTACTGGGATTGCATCACTGCTATTGCAAGATGGTAGAATGGCACATTCTAGATTTGGCAGTCCTATAAATGTTAATGACCATACCAAATTCTCGATGAAAGTGTGGTTCGTGTTTGGCGGAATTAATTAAAGAGGTTCAGCTTATAATATGGGATAAGACCCCATGATGAGGAATTTATCCTTCGAGACATTGCATGGAAGCATGTGTGATATATTAAAGTATCAGTAACCATTTAGTAGTAACCATTTTGTGATAAAGTGATTGTTTTTAGCGGTGATTTTAGACAGGTTTTGCCAGTAATACCAGATGCGACAAGGTTTCAAACTGCGATGGCCGCTCCAAAATCATCAATGCTTTGGTGCAAGTGTAAAGTTTTACAACTTACACAAAATATGAGATTGCACGCATTTCTGACTGGTGACGATGCTGAAGATCTTAAGGCATTCTCAAAGTGGATATTGGATATTGGTGACAGAAAAATAAACGAGCCTAATACTAGAGAAGTCAAAATTGAGATACAAGAAGATTTGCTAATTTTTGATTGCGATGATCTTGTATGATCGATTGTTTGGGAGATTTACAGTGAATGGGTTTGCCACCAATACGGATGCACAGTTCTTCAGAAATAGAGCTATAGTAAGTTCTAGGAATATGTGGAGATCATAAACCAATATATGCGATCAAAGTTACCAGGTATTTTTCAAACTTTTAACACAATTTTAATGTCATTCATTTGGCCAATAAATTCAAAATATGAAAACATATTTTAACAATAATAGGGACTTATTCACAAATGATATTCACCTTAAACAATTATACATTCATATTTTAAATTATATAGAGAAAGATTATTAATAATGGTAATAAAATTAATATTTTGTTATATGTAACTAATATTTGAAATTGTTTAATATTCAGGTTAAGAAAAAAAGATATCTAAGTGCATGTAGTATTGAACCTTCGGACACAAGTGATGCTGATGATATCGTATATACGTAAGGGTTTTGGAATAGCAATAAGATTTCAGGTATGCCTAATCACGAACTATTCTTGAAGGTGGGAGCTCCTATAATGTTTCTACGAAACATTGACCATAAGAGTGGATTGTGCAATGGTACAAGAGTGATACTGACTAAGTTGGAAAA